GGGTGGGCGGTGGCCTACAGAAGTATATTTTTGCAGGCGCCACTCAGGTTGAAAGATGAGATAAAAATCGTTTAAACTTGTTAAATTAAGAGCAAGTGCAGAATTTCCCACTTACCCTCAAGGAACGGAGTCGCTTCTCAGATTTGAAAATAAGAATGCAAACCAATTGATTTGCTCTACAAATTTTAGGTTGCTCTAATAGACGTTCTACATTTTTGGTTTCTGCACACTTTTAGTTATTATCAAACTGCGTTGGAAAATTGAAAATATCGTGCTCACATTACTTAACTGACATTTTAATGAATGAATTTCGGGAATTTAAGACATTAGCAGTAGTCATGTAAACCGTAGTCTAATTCATTAAATTATTTATTTATATCAAATGGCAGGCGTTTTGATAGCTACCATTAACCTATTAGTTGACTTCAGGCTTCGCAAAGAGGAGGAGGAACATCAAAGCGAGAAAAATTCGGGAGGGGAGACAGAAGAGTGATTCACCGATGTAAAAGAGACAGACAGACACAACGGCATAGAAAAGGTAAGATGAGTATTGTGAAAGGGGTCGAATATGACAAATAGTCGGGTCATAGTAGTTTGAAGTCAGAAGTCAATTGTCGATAAATATACTTTTTTGCAGTATAAGTATGCGTTGTCCAGGGTGCACCACGTGGAGGTAAGTCTATTGCGCACCTTTATTCATTAAATATAAATATTTTCCAAAGTCTATAAACTCAGCATTGTGAATAGGAACAATCGGCTGAGATAGAAAATGGCAGACTTTTATCTATTACCCAGATTATGAACCAGTGTTTCAATCAAAACCATTTGCAAGCTATTACATATTACTCCATTTTTATTTCTCGTCTAATTGTCGATAGTCAACATCATTCATGATTTTTGCAGAAAAAAAACTAATTAATTAAGCTGAACAACTATGAAGAATTTAATTCCTCCATCATAACAACTCCTAATGAATCCGTCACTTTCATTTGATGACCCGAAGGTAAGATAATTATGAGTCACTTTGGTGGGGGTGAGGGGGGAGGGATAGGAGGGAGGGGGGGGGGAGGAACAATATGATTATATAACCAGTGAGTGTAACGGATACCTCCAAATTATTCAATGGGACAAATAACCTAATACCTTAAAAAGAACAATGTGAAATGCCAATGTAATCTATAAAGTTGCAAACCCACACATTTACCATACACTAGGGTCTATCGTGGCTCTTATTTGACCTACAATTGAATTTAATCGAGTGGACGCATTATCATTTTAATTTATTATTCTTAGTTGAACAACTATAATTGAGTTAGATGAATGAGAACAACAAATTTTGGCCTATTGCAATCAGGTATTATCTTTTTTATGCCAATAAAGTGTTTATCGAAATCACTTGTTTTTTTTATCAGTTTTGAAACTTCTTTTAACCTCGTACTCAGATTTTCAGGCAAATATGGGAAATGCGTCCAAAACTTGGCCTTATGGTCTATTGTCATTGTCTACATAGAGCACATATGAACGTCAATCGAACGGTATTTTCAAAGCTAAGCCTGATTAAAAATTAAATTTTTATTAATTAGTTGTCATTGGCTTAAATTAATGAATAGACCCGGGCTACTTAACTACGTAAATGAAATTTGGAAAATTACAAATATTGAAATGTATTTTGTGCAACTGCGCACAAATTAAGATACTATTTGAAATAAATTAAATTGAAGTACCACGAATCTCATAACCCAAAATTTTAAAAAGAGCCATTTCTTCAGAAAGGATCTTCTGATTTGGAACCAACTTGTTCGAGAGGAAGGGATGTGCTTCGTGTGATGAGCGTTGTCTTAAAGATTTATTTCAAATGGCAGACGTTTTGTTGGTTATCATTTGTCCTCTATCTGACTTCGGGTTTCACAGAGGGGAAGAACATCAAAGTGAAAAAAAATTCAAGAGGGAGAATAGAAGAGCGATTCAAAGAAGTAAAAGAGAGACAGACACTAAGATAGAGAAAAGGTAAGATGAGTGCTGTGGAAGTGGTAGAATATGACATACAGTGAGGTCCGATTAAGCATACGTTGCCCAAGGTGCACCACGTGGAGGTAAGTCTGTCACGTAACCCCTGATGTATTAAATATAACTCTCACTTAACAACGCAAGTAATACTTCATATTCCATAGAACTTACTTGGATTATTACATTGTAAGCCCTAGTGCTGGAGATGATACAGAGAATAATTGTAAGCATATCTCCCAATTCTCTGCATGATAAAATTGAGGTCAAAAGTGCTCACCTTTGCTCTTGTCGATTGAATCTAAAATTCAAATTAACTCTTAAATTGCAATAAAATTTCTCCAGGATAGAAGCTAATAGGTATGAGTGTTTAGATGATCCAGTTACACCCTGATGAAGTCACCTTGGCTCCCTCCGTAAGCCATCCTTGATCTCATAATTATGTGCTGTGGACTCAAATCACATGAGCACATTTAATGAGTCCACAGAACTCATAGTCCTACTTTTTTGAATTCCAAATTCGATTATTATAAAGAATTACAAAGTTTGGTAGAAGTGGGAACTGTAGAGATTTGGAAATTGAGGAAATTCACAGTCCAACTTGTGACATTGGTGGACACCACTTACCTCCCCCCCCCCCCCCCCACCCAAGTAGGCTTATGGTCAACGTTTTTGGGGATTGGATAGTTGGAAATTTAATGACACACCGTAGCGCAAGGCGAAATCATCAAATTGCCTATTCAGGCACGTTACAAGGGGATGATAGATTAGTCTCTATTACCTTCATAAAATAAAGAGCTGTAGAAATTGTTATTATCACAGAAAGCTATAATTAACTTCAATGACATATCATTACCTCATAATGAATGAAAAAAAAACTTGAAGCAAAATCTAGATGGCTGGAATATGAGATTTGTCCCTTATTCCAACCGATGATATGCTGGCAATATTTTGCAGTAAACCGAAGCTATGAACTTCAAGGACATCGGTGCATTATTTATAATCACAGTAATATCAGATAAAGTTTTGGATGAAAAGGACACAACGCTACAGAGTGTATGTAAATGCCAAAGTGGTATTCTTTCTGCAAGCAAGTATTTCTGTAAGTAATGCTTATAAAACTATATTGATGATATTTGAATTTAGGCATTTGGGTCTTTGAATTGTTCAGGCCCTTTTATACTATTAGGATTTCAGTCATTTCAAAGTTATCGTTTTACTTCCAGACTCCCAAGGAGACAAGACTTACCAATTTTATTGTATTTCAGTCATCTCATTCCTTATTATTTATGAATTTTATAGGGTGAAATTCGGCAAAGCTTTACTTAGTTAATAGAATCTCATACATGGTCCCCCCCCCATCCCACCCCTCTAATTTAGCACAGGACCATCGTGGACGTGATTGAAGTAATCTCCAAAAGGGGGGGGGGGCTCGTTTATGCCATATTTATTTAGCCATCCACACCGTTCCTTGTCCTCCTGTGTCCACATGCACTTGGACGTCTTGGACGTCTTGGGGGGGGGGGGGGTAGTAGCTTTGAATTTGGGATTTGTTAACCCCTGCGGTAGTCCTGTCATACAAACGGGAAAGGAAAATAGCATTTAATCAAACAAAAACTTGCACTCAGATTACTTCATTCAAGTACATTCAAATTTTGCCTTTTGCAATAATTTTCTTTTAAAGAAAACAATTCCCTTCAAGACTCTTCCGGATGAATTAGTCAACCAAGCAATGTTTATAGGAATTGAGATCGATCAGTCCATTTACTATGCACTTAATGCTATGAGAAAATTTCTCTCTTCTAATGCATCTAATAAGTTTGATCGTCATCCTCCCCATGGAAGCTCGGCAAATGTGTGCCTTTTCATCCTCATTCAGATACTAAAAATATCAGCAAATAATCAATTACTGTTTAATATTAACGTTGCGTTCATGTGTTCAATGATTTGAGCGCCAACGATCAGTCACATATTTCAAATTTGTTAAATTTGCGGGGAATATCATCCAATGTCTAAATAAACATGAGAATAGGTACCCTTGATTTGACCCGAATTGGGGGAGGGGGTGGTTCGCTTTCATTGCCCACGTGCGTCGCGCACGCAAGTCTACGGCACTCTCATCCATTTCGGTTTACTGAATAACAAGATTTTCATAAATTGGTATTAACTCCCCTTTAATTAACATTCTACTTGCCTTCAAAGCTGCTTCACGAATTGAAGAGTTCATAGGAACTTATGGTATATAGTTGTAATGCCTTAAACCAATGCATGATTGAACGGATAAATTTATTACAATTTAGCGCATTCAAATATGGAATTCGTCTTCTTCAAGTTACCAGTTTGACTTTCTTGAGCTATGCTCAATGATAAAACTTTTGATTCAGAATGAAGCAATTAAGTAATGCATCTTAATGGTGACCTTTAGAAAAAATGAAAATCTTGTCAAATCTAAGATATTTGTGTTTTTTTTTTCAATTTAAGGAAACATTTCATTTAAAATAAAACGAATTTTCGTAAATCGAAAAATATTGCATTTGCAAATTTCAGAGGGTAATGAGGCAACGTACTCAACTTTATGACTCACCAAAAAAGATTCGAACACATTAATCCAGATTTGCTAGTCTTCCCACTTGATTCATTCTGTAGTAGGGTCAAACACCTCCAACTCATAATTTAATGAATACCTTAAGGAACCTCAGTACCATATGTTCCAGTTTCGAATCGCGGTTATCCGAAACCCCGGTTTCCATGTCATTCCACACCGATTGGCCAATGTGATTTAGTGCTAAATGCTGAGCTGCTTTCTTTCCATAACACCTTTTTAAGAGATCTTTTTTACTATTCAGCAGTAAAATTAAAGATCAATATTTTTTATTTATTTTTCTAAAATATCTTAGGAATACTCCTTAAATTTGGGAGTTCCATTTGACTTGAATTGTTTTATTTGGTGTGAATCGGCTTCTGGCAATTTGTGTTTTGGAGGAGTTTAGAAGTTAAAAGGGAGGAGACTTTATTTTCAAAATGCGTTTGAGATCTCTATATAGTGATTTTCTTCATTCTCTGAAAAGAAACTAAAAAAGAAAATCATTATAAGCTTTTACATTTTTAAAGAGGTTGTTGAAAAGTAATTGCCTTCTGGAAAAATGGTTTATTTTTCCAAAAATGAAATTTGTAGTTATTCAGAAAATTTAATATAGGTACTTATTTTCCAAAAAACGCTCCAACTGTGAGAACAAATAATAAGAGACGAAATGACAAGATCGCATACTGAAGGGTGTTGATATAGTTTATAATATCAAATCTGTTATGGAAACTTCCCGAATATTAATGTATTTCAAGTGGCAGACTTAATGATGGTTTTCATTAGACCTCTAGATGACTTCGGACTTCATAGAGAGGAGGAACAACAAAGTCATAAAGTGTCGAGAGGGGTGAACAGAAGAGTGGTTCACAGATGTAAAAGAGACAGACAGGCACAAAGGCAGAGAAAGATAAGATAAGTACCGTGGTAGAGGTTAAATATGACTTGAAGTTGGGCCATGGTAGTTGGAAGTCAGAAGTCAACTGCAGGTTAATCGACTTTTTTGCCGTATGAGTATACGTTGCCCAGGGTGCACCACGTGGAGGTGAGACTGTCTCACGCCCCACTTTCCAAATATAAAATCCTTCGGCAATTGTAATGAACTCGTAAAAAACTGAAAAAAGTGAACTTGAGATTTTTACGACAAATATGGAAAAAAAAACGATGTGCATCCCTGATTGATAGCCATTGGATCATTTTTCAATCACGAGTTAACAAAGCAAATCATCGGAGATATTTAAACCGATTCGAAGCTCACTCATTTCATATAATAGAAGTGTGCTTTTTCCCTAAACTGGTTACAATTTTTGAAACTCGTAGTGAGGGTCTTCTAATTAACGCGAATTTGTTAATTACAGGGAAATAACTTACTCAGCTGAAGTTCAGTTCAGCCTTCAAAATGTTACTCATACGTTATCGTCCTGGCTCACACTTAAGCTGCCATACTCTGCTGCTAGAGCGCCGATTCGATCCCATCTGATGTCTCTTCCATTTCTGATTCTGTTGCCTCATTCCCTTCAGTTAATCGATTTACTCGAATCATACAGATTCATTTACTGACTGATTCAAAACTCCTCCTATTTACCATTTGAATGATTCATTTCCAGCGTCCATACAATTGCATAAGTAAAGCATGGGGAGGGGATGGATGGAGGGGGGGGGGGNGGGGGGAATGGGGACACCTTTCTGTTGAGATACTTAGTTCTAGTTGTTAATTAGTGAACAAATATCGCCAGTCCCAAATCTAAAATTCAAGGCTCTATCCATTAAGGGAAACTGATAACTTGTAGATTTAACGAGGTACATTCAAACGGCATAGTACAGAGAAAGGGCGTTGATGGAGACCATTAGCTCAACGTTTAGCACTCAACGTGATAAATGAGATAAAAATCTTTTGAGCACCCGTTAGCTTTTTACATACTGTAATTTAATTTGAATGGATTAAATATAATGAATTAAATGACTTAAAATCCCAATTGAAATTACGACAACAGAAACCAGATAGCAGGGCTTCAGGCTCACAATGTCATCTAAATTTCCTCACGGAGGAATATTTTGTTGGGGCATGATTGTCACCCTTTCGAGACTAGTATCAATTTTTGGAATCACCGGACGCCGTTTTGTAATAAATTGATAGAAGCTGAATACAATTCGCCAGCCGAAATGATTACAACTTTATATGCAACTTATTAGCCTCTTGCCATGAAATTGTCAATGCCACATGAAAATTTGTTAAGGCCTAGTGGTTCCACTTCAACACACAAAGCTTCCTCTCCGGAGAAAGAAGAAGAATAATTACTGTTGCCATATAAAATCTCATTTTATTTATTTAAACCTTCTCCAAATCAGTAGCGATTTCGAGTGTTCAAAAGTTTGTTTCTTAAATTTTACTTCTCAAAAAGGACGACGATTATTATTGTAATCGAAGCATACTTTTGAAACGATGGAAAGCCTAAAGTCGGTAATTTGGAGTGATTGAATTAAATTCGTGTTAATTAGAAAAATTTGTACTAATAAATTTTGTTATAAAAGTTATTTCTTCATATGTAGTCGCTTGTACTTCAGTTTAGAACTTATAAAGCAGTACCATTCCTTTTGCAGAATTTGTAAATAGAAAAATTACTATTCCTCATAGTTCATATTCTTCTCAAGGAAACCCCCTCCACCCAGTATG